TGCATGATCAATTACTAAGTGGAGAAATTTTTTTGTAGAATTATAATAATTGAATCCACCAACAGTATCAACAGAGATATACTCAAAAGGTTGATCTGTGGGTGGTACAGTCTGTAAAAGACCAAATCTTTTTTTGCCTTTTCTTTTTGTTTAATTGACATACATTGCAATGTTTAACAAATTTTGAAATATCTAAATTAATATGAGGCCAATAATATTGAGCAGTAATTAAATTTATCATTTTTTGGGTACCAGGGTGTCCAAATTGTTCATGAGCATTTTGCAAAATTTTTCTTCTTAATGAAAAAAGTACAACAATTTTAAACAGATTTTTCTTTTTAAGAACAAAGACATCATCAACTTTCTTATATTTAGAATCATTTACATTATCTAAATTTTGATGGGTTTTTATCTCACTTAATTCAAGTAAATGTACAGAGTTTTGGATATACTGAGCAACAGGATGTCTTGATAACATGTCAGCTTCAACATTATTAGTCCCTTTTAAATATTTTACTTCATAATCAAACATGCTTGATTTTACAGACTAACGAAATAATCTCCCCCTTAAATTTTTCACATTTTTAAGCCAAACAAGAGCAGCATGATCAGTGTGGATAATGAATTTTTTACCATGTAAATAATAATAAAACATCAAGAGCATCTACTATGGCCAAACATTCCAATTCTGTAATACAATAATTTTTTCATAATCACGTAAAGTTCTAGAATGATAAGATACTGGGTGAAGAGTATCAGAATTATCAGGTTGTTTCAAAATAGCTCCAATAGCGTTCAGCGAGGCGTCACAGAAAACATGTAGAGGTAATTTAGGATCATATAATTGTAATACAGGTTTAGTTACTAATTTATTTTTTAACAATTCAAATGCTGTTTGACATTCAGCAGTCCAATACCATTGTTTATCTTTCTTTAGTAGTTGGTTTAAAGGTTCTCTAATTTTGGCATAGGAATCAATGAATTTGTTATAAACATTTACAGAACCAAGGAAACTTTGAAGTTGTTTAACATTTTGGGGAGGTTGTAATTTTTTAATAGTTTCAATATTTTGATTATCAAGGGTAATGCAACCTTCTTTAATTTCATAGCCTAAAAAGTTTCTCTTAATTTTTGCAAAAACACATTTTGAAAATTTTAATTTAATGTTCTCTTCCTCACAAATTTTGAATATTCTTCTTAAATGAGCATAATGTTCTTCCAAAGAATTTGAAAAAATAACTATATCATCGAAATAGTGACAAGCAAAATTTGAACACTTATGTTTAGTTAAAATTTTACGAATAGTACGATTAAAAATTGCTGGGGCATTTCGAAAACCAAAAGGAAGAACTTGAAATTCATATAAACCTTCAGTTGTAATAAAAGCTAATTTTTCTTTATCTCTATCATGCAGAGGAAAGTGCCAGTACCCGCTTGTCAAATCCAGCGTAGAAAAAAATTTAGCACTATTCAATTTATCTAGCAGGGAGTCTATTCGAGGTAATGGTTCTGCAGCTGTCTTACAAATTGCATTAAGTTTTCTATAGCCAATACATAATCTGGTTTTTTGTTTTTCATCTCTCTTATAAGCTAAAGTAACAGGGGAAGAATAACAACTATTGGATTCTTTAATTAAACCTGCAGCTAATAAATTTTGTATTTGTTTATTAATCTCGGCTTCTGAAGTGGCTGAAGTTCTATAAGCTCGCTGAGAAATTGGGAGGTCTGATGTTAAATTAATTCTAGAGGGTTCCATTCTTATTTTTAGAAAAAAACATGAGAGTATTCTGAAAGAAGTTGTATCAGGTTGTGAGATAGTTCTTTAACAGTCATAGGTGAGAAAATTTCCTCTGAGGTTTTTACTAACTCTTCTTGTATATGTAATGAAATTTGTTTAGTGAGTGTGGATTCTGATTACTTACAATGATTTGTCCATTTTGTAGTAATTGGTTATGTTCACAATCAATAACAAATTTATATTGACTACATTCTGGTAGTCCTAGAATAATATAAGGTAGACTACTACTAATTATATACAGATTTATGTGTCTCTCTACCTGTCCAATTGTTAAATAAGCTTTGCATAGTTTGTTTAATTGAAAATTGCCACGGGCTTGGTTAATATGTACAGGCCTGGTTGTTTTTTGTGGTAATCTAAGTTTACTTACAATATCTGCAGAAATTATAGATAGAGTGGATCCAGTATCAATAACAATATTTACATTGTTCTTTTTAGGTAAATTGTCCAAGTTAGCTAGGCTTGGCAATGAGGAGATGTGTCCGGACACTTGTAATTGTAAATATGCTGGACCATAGGCCTCAGTAGAGGAGTGTTGTCTCTGATTAGGAATTTGTTGACTTCTAACAGAGTTCTCCGAGCTCTGAGAATCAGTGTTAGTAGCCAAAGATGTCACAAGTAAATGGGGTTTGTCTCAATTGATGTTGATTAAAAGGACATTGTAGTTTCCAATGATAAGCATTGGGAATTCCTTGTTGTGTACAAATACTACACGGATATGGTGGCAGTCCATGTTGAAAATGTGTGTGGTGGTTGGGCCTAAATCCACGATTGTCAAAGTTATGAGAATGCTGATTTGGGAGATGTTGGGGACGCGTTCTATTAAAAGTTTGAAAGTTGGGTCGAAAAGAGTGACGATTTTGAGGTACAAAAGCATTTTGTCTGGGTCAAATGGGCATATTTTGTCTAAAAGTATTGTTATTGCAACGAAGACGAACTGTAAACAAAAAAACTTTCACCACAACGTCTGAGAGAAAGCGCCACTACGTCTGGAAGGAAGCTTTTTCCCGCTCAATGACTTCTTTTTTTTATTATCTTTTATTGATTTTCTTATGTAATCGTCAGTTCGAGATTAGATTTGCTATGTGTTAGATCGTAGAGATAGTTGCTTGTAGATTAGTATATATCAGAAGTTCTTAATTAAATAATATAAACTAATAACAGAAGTGTAATAATTTGGAGTTCTGCCTGAATTACTTAGAAGTTTAGAATTATTAGAATTACTTAGATTTTTAATAGAATAAATCGATTAGATTTGAATACTTAGATTTTCGACAATGAACCACTGAACAACCGCACAAGTATTTTGTTCAGGTTGAGGGGCTTGTGTTTTCATTAAGCGTGCAGCTACCATGAGCCATTCTGTGGGTGAGGTAGAGGGATTTATTGTCATTAATTGTTCAATATTGGTGCGCATTCATTCAGTAAGTCCTTCCTAAATGAGTTGAGGTGATAGACCTAATTGCCTACCATAATTTAGTTTTTTTATAAAAATATTGCACTAAATTATCTTTTAATTGGAGTTGTGAGAAATCTGCTAAACTTACAACATTAGGTTTTAAAAAATTTTCAATAAGAATCGAACAAAGTTCTCCAAAATTTGAAATATTAAGGCAAGAGTTGATATAATGGGTTAATGCAGACCCTTTTAGATATTTTGATATGTTTACGATTTTCCAATTATCATTTTTATTACTGAGTGTACATGCATTATTAAAATAGTCCAGCCAACCTTCTATTATCATTCCATTTTCAGAATCAAAAGGGACTCTATATGGTTCATTAGGGGTTTGGTTGATAGTACTTATAACAGCCAAATTGGTTTGCTCATTATTTGCCATTTTAAAACCAGATCTGAGAATCATACAGAAATTAAAATCTTAATTTAACTTAAAATTTGAAGTACCAAAAATAAAAATACCAAGATATAAAATTGAAATTTCAACAAAAATCAAAACATTTGCATCTATTAATTATTAAAATTCAAATATCAAACATCAATGTATTTAAATTTCTTATTTCAATAGATATTGTTTTATCATAATTAAAAACATGTATTGCAACAATATTAAAAATATATCAAATAATTTTTCATGAAATGTTAAGCATAAAAATATCAAAAATCAGAATCACTTTAAAAAAAAAATCATACGTATAAAATTTGCAAGATAAATAATTTTGAAAATAAGATTTCTTAATATATAAAACACATTTTAAAACCCCGCTGAGCTCAGCATTCACTCTTTCAATTTAGTAACAAACATTTAAAAATCTTGACTTTTCTGTTGACGGTTGCACTTTTCGAAGAAACACGAACCAGTATTAGGCTTATTCACTTTTTTGATGAAAACGAAGCGGTCTTGCACATACTTGAACGGGGATTTCCCCCTGCTAATGAAGTAGTTGAAACATCAGGAATTTTCGTAAACGGATGAAGGCTTTTTTTTTTTTTTTTTTTTTTTTGTCGCTGGGAACGCACACTTTACTTCTTGTTTTGAAGCATATCTTCACGGTAGGAAACTATCCTACCGACTTTTGTAATAGATTGAAGTAGTGTTGGCCGGAGTAGATTATCAATTTTGATTTAGTAATGACGTCTTCAGAATAGCTTTACCTCCTTTATTATGAGCACGCATCAGCAGATTAAAGCACAATTACATTCTATTTTCACATCGAGTAGACAGCGGCATTTTGGAGGACACAACACAAAGACAAAAAGCAGCAAGTATTTTCAATCGTGCATTATGGCGGCAAGCAGAGAAAGAGCCCGATTACATCAGCTTTTGGTGTTTATATACCAACAGTGCACAAGAGCGTGACTATTACGTAATAGTGGTTCTGATTGGCTAGAATGCGCGGGATTTAGATTTAGGTTTAACCGATTACGATTAAGATTACAATGTTTTATTTTAAACCTAATAAAAAAGATTATTTATAGATCATTAAAGAGAGTTAATTAAAAGTATGTTAGAGGGAATTATTACATATATATCTTGTTCAAATTTTCAATTGTTAACAAAATACTTTTTATTCATCCTCTTAAGTTCAAACACATTTTTTTTCAACTTGGATGACACTTGATGTTAAAACAGTTCTTTTTCAAATATTATAAACTAATTAATTACGTTAAATTAATGAATAAATAGTAACAAACAAAAATAATAGTCCAACACCATATATAAAAAGGAAAATTGCTCGTAGTATTCCTGTAACGCAAAAGATAGCGCATTGGTTTTCTAATCCAACGGTCATGGATTCGAATCCCATCTGGGATGGCCTAATTTCTGAGAATGTGATTTCTTCTTTCTATGCTATTTTATTGGAAAATTAATTTTAAATTAATTAAAAAAATTAATGAATTAAATTTAATTAATGAATAAATAGTAACAAACAAAAATAATAGTCCAACACCCTATATAGAAAAGAAAATGGAAAATCGCTTTCTATTTTGCCATTTATTATTGTAATTCTGTCATATGTATACTGATATTTATATTAATTGTAATTATTTAACAAAAAATAACTAAAATAAAAATTTTCTTTGTTGACCTAAGTAGGAAGTGTGACTTAAAAATTTTTCTTTTATATTACTTGTTCACAAATTAATTAAAGTGCCAGAGGTACATTAAAGCAAAAGCACTGTTGTGGTGGCTTGCTCATAATGGCCACAGATGAATTCTGTTTATCAACGAGAAAATGTTTGACATTTTGAAGATTCTTTCGACAGCCGGAATATGACGCGCAATAGAATACGTAAGGGGTAGCCTAGAAATTTAAGGGAAGAAAACTGCTTGCAGACAGCTTATCATCCAGCTTCCGTAATGGTTTGGTGGATTTCAACTACTAAGGCGTCGTGGAAATTCATTTTTGCAAGAAAGGAGTGAATACCACGGAAAAGTTTATCAGTTTACTATTTTAGAACCAATAGTGAAGCCTTTGAATGTAAACCTGTGTTCAAAGAAACTGTTGGACTTTTCAACATGATTCTTCTCCTGCTCATAAGGCGAAGAAAATCCAGCGTTGATTGAAGGAGAATGGGCTGGATTTCTTTGAAAGCAAAGATTGGCCTTCCAGGTGTTCGAATTGAAATCTATTCGATTATAAATTGTGATCAGCATTGGTAACTACTGAAACTTTAACTGTAGTGGCCATGCAGTCGCTTTGTTTTTCTGCTGATGAATATACGTTCAGTTTGTAGTATGCGTTCTGCCCTTGTGATGTTGAAATAAAAGTTGTTAGTCTGTGACTGTCGACCCATTCTCACAGGAAAGAGCTTTTTATTTGTCAATAGATTCATTGAGAGCGAACATTAGAACAATTGAAATTGAAAAATATTAGTGAATTGAATCCAGGCAAAGGTGCAGAATCCCAATTTGAATATTTTTAAGGAAAGCAGTGATAAAAATTCCCATGGAGGTAATGTGTGCTTTCAAAGAGATTGGCCCAAGATAAATGAAGTCTGAGTGAAGTTAAAAGGTGATCGTACTGAATGCCAGGAGCAATATGTTAAATTTCAAGAAAAAATAAAAGTTTGAGAAGATTTAGCTTTAAATCTCATTACAATGTTGTATTTTAACTCCTTTATATTTGTATCGGAACTTTTGGCACCATTAGGTAAAGAAGAAAATATTTGTTTACTATGTCTAACTAAGCAGGTGTGACTGTGTGGGGAGGGGAGGGTTAATGTATAAATAATAATAATAATAATAATAATAATATATAAATCAGTTCATTCAGAAACATATGAAAAAGATTTTCCTTTCATACAATTAGAAAAGAGAACGTTAAAGAATTAAAAATGAGTTAACTTATCTACAGTCAGTTTTAAAAAAGGGACTGATAAAAATAAAGTCGCCACTGTTACATTATATCGTGTTTCCCAGGTCATTGCTCAAAAAATTATGAAGACGGTGGAATAATACAGATTATTTGATGATTTGTAAAAAGAAACAAGTCAGACATTACTGCATGCAATTGAATCTCTATAAGTTTCGTCGAATACAGTTATGAAAATAGTTGAAATAATGTTTAGTGATGTATTACCAGTTAAAAGAAAATATTTGGAAAAATGTTGTTTTTCACTCCAATTTGAGAAATCTATCGATGTGTAAATCGAATTATTTTTAATGACTTTATAGAATAACAAATCTTATAAACATAAAAAAAAATATTCAATTAAAAAACACACTAACAGCGAAGCAATTTTTGTATAGAAAAGTATAAAAACTAATTTCTAGTGGTTGAAATTTTTTTATTTTTTCCAAAATTTCAAAACCTTCCTATGCGGAAAAGATGTTCTGTGGTATATCAGTAAAAGGGAAAATAAAATGGAATATTAATATTTAAGTTAAGTTTTGCAACAAGGAGAGTGAGGTTTAGGCATTTGAGCTTTTTTTATGATAAAAAGTCAAAATAATTTCTATTAAAGAAAAACAGGTATTTTAGAACTTTTTTTAACACTATTCACTGCGATGAGGGATTGTTTTCTTACGTCGCACTACAAAGCTGCAAGAGAGCTATTGGTGACAGACCTCATAATTTTGAACAATAGTCAAGTGACGAGGACGACACCTGAGCTGGAAAAACTATCTCAATGTATCGTTGAAAATTTTAGTGAAGGTATTCTCATATCAGAAATACAGTTGATAAATTTTCAATGTGTTTTTTCACTCAAAGCTACTGCAGAATTTTTATATGACCTTTAGTTTCGACAAAATAATATCCAATATTGGTTCGAATTGCTCTACGATTGTATTATTTTCTTTTACTTATCTATGTGAGTCTTTATTTTCAACGTAGCTAAAAACAAATAAATAAATTAGGCACAATGATAAACATCTCGATAAGTGCGTTCGGAAAGCAGATTACTTACCTAAAATTGAAAAAATTGAAGAGGAAAGCGAATATAGCAAATTGTAGCGGGTTCTCAACGAGTTTCCAAATAATCTCTAAGGAAATCTATTTCATGGATTGTTTAATTGATCTGAGTGCCTCTCCCTGAGAAGGAACCGGAATATATGCAGATTATGATTATTATTGAAATATGTCAGAAGTAGGAACGGTTATAGGTTGTAGAGATTATATTATTGTAAGGAGAGGTTTTTGCAGTTTTAAATGTCTAAAAATTAATCCACATTAATTTAAGTATCTGATCATCTTCAGAGACTATGATTATTTGCTATTGGGATTGGCGAGTTTTAATCGTGTCCAGCCGAGTGGGACTGCTGTTTGAACTTAATCTAGATTTGGAACCTGAGTAGCTGTAATTCAAAGTTTCCAGTAAAAATGGGAATATTTATTATTGGTTAGGATTCAAGGTTTATTTCACTCTCGTCCGATTATTTCCTGTAAGATATTAATATACTAAAACTTTAGATTACATAAAAGTTGAGTATTACAATGCCTTTTGATTTATCCTCCTTACCACACTAATACGAATTCCGACTCGTTTCAAAGTTTCTCATTCAACCTTTCACTCTTTTCAAATAGTTATATTAAAATTTGCATAATTGTAAACATTTTTATGCACTTTTTAATTATTTTATTTTTGTGTGTGTTTTGTTTAAAATTTTACATATTATATAAATTATTATATATTTTTATAAATTTTGTTTTATTTTAATATAACTAAGTATTTTTAATATATTGAAAATTTAGTCTACTTTTTTAGATGTACATATAAATAAAACAAGGTTGTATAAACAATAAATAAAATTTGTAACAACATCGGATGGTTTTAACTTCAAAAGTAGATCCTGCCCACCTATTAAAATTGTAGACCGCTGGTTTAAAGCAATAATTTAGCAAGTTATATGACATTATTACCAAACAAGACATTCCTGGTAATGAAATTCATTTTGGAACTGTATATCCAAAATACCTACAAAAACAGCAACTTTACATATGTATAACTATTCATACATGAATTTCTTCTGGAGTTTCCTAGTTCATGTTTTTCTGCTTTTTTGATTGTACTATTTTTTTTCTTGCTACTTTATTTCTATTTACATAATATTCATTAAAAAGATTTATTTTTTTAATAGCTTACTGTTTTTTTACACGTATAAATTTTTGGCACAAGTGATTTTCCCTTTTGGTTTATATTCTCCATGATTTTTTTATCTTTTACTGTAAAAAAATAAATTTTCTACAAAAGGCAGGGCCGATCCTAGCAGGTGTGCAGCGAGTGCACCGCTCGCGGGCGGCGAAAACAAGGGGCGACCGCAGGTCGCATAAATATATTATCAATCAAGCAAAATTTTTTACGAATTTCTCAAAGTAAAATCGTTTTATCGTGCTTTGTATTATTTCTCAAAGTAAAACTAAAGAAATTTCTCTTAATAAATCGAATAAATATGTGCTGAATTTTGAATAGTTATTGAAAAAAACAAGTCCCGATTTCTTGATAGCACAGTGTTGTTTATGAAAAATAGAATGTTAGTGCACAGTGGTCAAGAGATTGTCCATTAATGTTTGATCTTTACAAACATCCTTTATCTGATAGCAAAATCCGTGGTGGCTATACTGCAACCATTTATTTATTTTTATTTTTATTTATTTATTTGCTTAATAATGGCACTGTGGATCGATGCCTAACTAAGGTGTCCCAAAAATGACTTTTGCAAAAGTTGCTTTACGAAAATATCTAATATGGTTAATCTAATAATGTTCAAATTCAATATGCATTTGCGAAAATTAAAAGTTTTCAATTTAATAATAACAATTTAGAAAAACAAAACAAAGGAAAGAAAGGATTTGTGTCTATGGTTTTAAAACGCTTATAAACAATGCCCGCTTTCCTTTTTAATGGGATTCCTCTATTAAAAGGTAGTTTTTTTTCTTGTAGTTTTATTGGGTATTAAGTTATTATATAGAGAAAAAATCTTGCTGTGCTTCTTTTGACTTGTGAGTAAATGATTTTCATTACAAAGCCTGTTTGAAAAACACTTTAACAATCATATAGTATTATTAATGCTAGCTAAGTTCTAAATTTAATTTTATGTTGCAGGCCCTTAAATCTCATTACAAGGTTTTACTTTAACTCCTTTATATTTGTATCGGAACTTTTGGCACCATTAGGTAAAGAAGAAAATATTTGTTTACTATGACTAACTTGTCTTTCGTACTATATTGAAAAAAAGTGTGTGTGTGTGTGTACTTATGTACGCATGTAAGAAGTTATACTTCTTTGGCGTAACAAGAATAAAATCTTTCTAAAAATCTTTAGCAGGGCAAGCTGGGCCAAGGACAAAAGGTGGTCACGAGCAGAGTTGAA